ACAATAAATCCCACCGAAAAGCCTTCATTGTGTCGTGGTGAAATTTCTGTGACCCAATCCCTGTCCATCAACACAGATCCGAAACTTCATTCACCATTCTGGACCTAATGCCTGACGGACGCTATCGCTATAGATAATTACTAATCAACTCAACGTTCCCTCACCAAAGAACTTGAGAAATAATAGCAACCGCAGTCACTATACAGTAATCAATAATTCATAAGATTTGAAACAAGAAACTCTTCAGATCAATACCTTGCAACGACTTTATGTGCGACACCTGACAAGCCGAACGACTCGTATTGTGTTGTGATAAAATACTGTACATTCTTAGTGCGCCGAATCACGGCTTCACAGCGCCAGGCAACCAGTCATGATGTTCTCGATATAGTGCTGTAGTTGGATATGGTGCTACAAAAGAGTTTGACTCGAAAATGTACGTATAATATACTGTCCACGGCAAAAAATCTGAAAATCCTCAAAAAATTAAAAGTATAAAATTCTATTGACTTCCAACCAGCAACAGATCAAAAAAAAAGAGAAACCATTTAGCTGATTTACAAAACATTTAGTAGTTCAGCCTTGGGTAATATAGAAAAGATTTATTCAATTTTTTAAATACAGCATGTGGAAGTTAATATTAATTTATTTATGGAAAATTAAACGAAAATCAATAAATCAATATCGATCGTTCAGTTTATTTTTTTTTTAATTAAAGGCTGTCCCTACACAAGATTTATTCACATATCTTCTCCGGACTTTGCCTTAATTCTCATTTTATATTTCTTCTAAAATCATTTTATGTTATATAATGCATCATACATGCCAACTCCCATTTTGGCTGGGAGACTCCCATTTTGGTGACCTGAACAGGGACGTAGTGTGGTCCCATCTGGGTGATGAGAAAATTGTAAATGCGAATACAAAGAATCAGTGGCGTAAAGAAGGAGCCGTTTTGTGATGTACAGTATTTAAATGCCTTTTTTGCACAATTGAGTTTAATTTTGTATCGTGATTTGACAAAATAAGCGTAGGGCGTAATATTGTAATTAAGATAATACTTTGTTCGTCTGAAACTTAATTTCTAGCTAAAGTCAATTTAAGTAATGATATTTGATATTAATTAGTAAGGTAATTATCACAAAAAAATAAAATATTACTATAAATTTTATTATAACAATAAGAGCGTGATAACGTTTCTAGTATTTATTGCACCGTTTTTCTCCTGTGTAGATACCAGAGACCGTCTTAATGTCGCAATCCACTGGAACAAAAATGATAACATTAAATAGCAAAGCTTCCAGGACCCCATGTAATGGGAGACCCCCCCCCCCACCACACACACACATAGGCCAAGGCCCTTGGTGGCCAAATTCTCCAGTTTTTTAATAAAATGTTGGCATGTATGGCATTGAACGAAAACCGAATTGCGGATTTGTGCAAAAAATCAAATTTAGAAATACTAAAATAATTTATTATGAACAATTTTCTCAAAAAATTTTGAAATCACAGGAAGCACAGAGATTGGCCGATAATTTGAAATTATATGCTGATCATCTTTTCTATGGACTGGGATGATCTTGGCAATTTTGAGTTCTGGGACAACGCCGGTTATTAGTGATAAATTAATGTGCTAAGGGAGACTCAGAATAGGATGGATATCCAACACATTGTTATCAAATAAAAGGAAAAGGAACTGAAGTCTGAGGGCAATAAAGTAACGAATGGAACTTGAGAATGAGGAGGAGTATGGAGAAGTTGATAAACAAAAAATTAATGTGAAGGTGAAGGTCGTGGGTTTGGGACCGACAATGGGTCAATACCAAAAAAAAATAAAAAAAGAAAAAAATAGATATAGCGCACTCCATTGACACATTGCCCTTACAATGCTGCTCTGCAAATAGTACCTGCAACATTTTCTTACGTACGGTAATCCTATTCAACATTAATCAGTTAATGAACTATAGAGGGCGGCAAATACATATTTACGAGATCTTTTTAGCTAGGCACTGGAAATTTGATGGGCTCTCAAAATTGTGATATGAATGGTGATAATGCTATGACTATAGTGTCTGCAATATGTAAGTGATTTTCAACTGTTTGTCATACAGTAATGAATCTTAGCATATGATCTGATAGTCGCTGCTAGAAAGGAATCATTTTCATGTGCATCCTAGGCCTAGGATTGTGAGGCCCACCTACACTGTACAGTGCTAAGTAAATTGGACCAAAAGGACTGGGATGGGAAGTTCTATAATTGTAGATTTGGGAAAATCCCACAAAGGAGTGGCTTCTATTTTAATCAGCCTCTTATATACTTTATATAGGGCATATATATGTATATGTATATTTATATGTATATGTATATTTATATGTATATGTATATTTAT